ATTTAATTTAGCATCGGGTTTCTTGTTCAAATTATCAAATTTATCCTTCAGTGACTGAATTATTTTTTCTGCAAAGTTTTGAAACATAATCTTAAAATGCTCATCCCTGCAGTTTGCTTCCTTAATAGCCATGATCAATAGTGCCCTCTAGTGTCAAAGATACAAATTACATTCTATCCAAAGTGAATAGTGAAAGGGAGAAAGTCTCGTTATCTTGTTTAAAGTTCCTCTCCATTCAGGGCCAATTAAGTAAGAACACAAAGCAGAATTCACACAGTTCCCATATCCACATTCTAATATCAAAAACCCAAGCACAGATTCGCCAGAAAAAAATGAATAAATAAAAAGAATTCCTTTTCTCTTGTTTCTTAAAAATTAATAAGAAATCCAAGCCTTTGCCTTTTTTGTTGAATATATATAAAACTATTTATCCTAATAAAAAAAGAAAGTAAATCTTTCCATGAATCACCTATAACAGCCAAAAGGAAAAAATATACTGTAACTAAAGAAAGCCTCTCTTTAACCCTATAGAAGTAAAAAACAACAAAAGTGATTTTCGAAATGAGAAGGTCAGCGCAAGTGCCCAGTTTTGTTTTGTTTTTCCTGGCTTCTTCACAGTTTGGAACTTGCTGGTAACCCCACCTCCCAGCTGATCACTCACCAGTCTTTCCCAAACGTTTCGAGGTCTTCTGGCTGTGAAAGGCTGTCTGGAGGTCGTGTGGGACAATTTCTAGGATTCTCCTTGGATCTGGAGAATTCTTCAGGCTCCAAGAAGCCTGCCTAAACCTAAATGAGTCTACGAAGATGACTCTCCGCTTGAAAAGGAGAGCCTAGTGCGCGGCCATTACTCACCGGACGTCCATTGCAATGGCCCATCTTCATACATTTATTTGCACTGGAGGTTGGATACTACTCATGTAGGAAGATAGGCCTGAGTGGTCTAAGAGTAGAAGAATAAAAATAATGTTGCAGTAGCTGCAGTTACAATTTGTTTTTTTCAAATTAATTCCCCTGCACAGGTTCAATTTTGATGATGGAACCCCGCCAACCAACTTTGACACTTTCCCAGCAGCAATAATGACGGTATTTCAGGTAAGAAGGGGAATGGGAAGGTTGTTTTCTCTGACTTGTTGGTCTTTTTTGTCTTTGGCGAAAATCTTATCCATGAGCCAAATGAGTTAGAATACTCTGTTGATATGCCACAGAAGTCCAGATAGCACTTTTTCGTTTTGTTTTTTTGTAGTTTCCACAAATTCTCACCCGGTTTAAATAAGATAGAGATATAGTTGCAAAAGGACATGGAAACATTGTTCACAAAAACTGGCAGCTACGTTTTGGAGTGACTGCTGGATTGAGGAGGTAGTCAAGAGCAGCTGATGCAGGGTTTTGTTATTATACCTTGCTTTATATGTTTTGCATTGTGGTTGCATACTGTAACTAAAACAACCTCATAGAACTGGGCTAATCTTTCTGAAAGAAATAGTATGTATTGTCATTCCAGTCTGTTCTGATTATCTCTCGTGCTTTTATAGATAGCTATGGAAAGCAGTACACAACATATGATAATATATCACAGGGAGTTTCACACAAATTTATATCAGAAAAACTGTTTTAAAGTTTAGATTTATGTCATGCGCATTGTTCTTTAGCCATTGCCTTTACCATCTTCACTTCAAGGGAGAAGCAACTGGTCCAGAATGCAGCAGCACGGGCAATGATGGGCATGCCTCGGTATGCCCATGTAACACCTCTGCTTCGCGAGCTGCACTGGTTGCCAGTTTGCTTCCAGGTATGATTCAAGGTGCTGGTTGCTACCTATAAAGCCCTACGTGGCATAGGTTCTAGTTACATAAGGGACCACCTGTCTTCCATAACATCTGCCCTGCCAATTCAATCCTGCATGGTTGGCGTGCTCCAGGTTCCTCCAATTAAACAATGCCATCTCTCAGGACCCCAGAAACATGCTTTCTCTGTAGCAGCACCCACCATCTGGAATGAGGTTGCCTCTAAGATTCAAATGGCTCCCACCCTACTGGTTTTTCAAAAGGCCCTGAAGACCTGGCTCTTTGCCCAGGACATTGGCGAGTGTGATTGAGGCCTCATTTTCTTTGTTCCTATCTGGGTTTGTCATGTCTGCCACCCTGCTCTTTTTTGCTTTGTGTTGTTTTCTTGTTTAAACGTTTTTAACAATTTGTAAACCCACCCAGAGTTGCTGGGAATTGGGCATCATATACATTTAATAAATTATTATTATTATAAAATGTTCTTTATTATATTCATTTTAGTTTGCATCTCTTGAGTTGTATACTTTATGTCTGGATTGGTTTAATTTCCTTGAGGTTGTAGAAAAAGCATTCTATATGGTAGGGGGGAAAAAAAGAGACAAACTATGACATCAAGTCCTAACCCCTGCTCAGAGTCTGTTTAGGACTGGGACACATTCTAAATATTGTAACATAAGTAATTAATTAGCATCATAACAAAGGAGTTTGAAAGGCATTCTGGCAGTCACATTCAAAAGAATAATGGCTGGACTAAAATAAATGTAATATGATTTATAGGATTTCTATGCTATCTCAATTATAGGACTCTGGGTATATTACATAAAGCATAAAATTACAAATCATAGTTAGAAGAATAAAAAGTTAATAAATACATCTAGCTGCTAATGTATCACAACAACCACCTCCCAACTTTTACACTGGAGTCAAACTATTCCATAAGTTTAAGGTAGCCACAGAGAAGGCAGATTTTGTGGTTGTGGTCCCCTTAATTCCCTAGGATTTCAGGATAAGGAGCATGTCTTCACAACTCAAACATGCAGGACAGATATTATCATTTATTAATATTAGTTATTCAGTTTTGATGCTGCCTGGCTCTAACTAACTCCGGGCAGCTCACAAAAAAACAACAACAACATAAAAACAACAAATTACAATAAAATAGACTGGAACAAATTACAAAAAATAACTACAAAATAATTACAAGAGGAAAATCCAGACTACATATCAAAACAAAAAACATCACAAACGGGAGTCCCATCCACCCAGCCCCAAGGCCTGGGATTATAGCCAGACTCTATATGGAGCAGGTGGGCCCAAAGATAATCAGGACCCACACTGTGAAGGGCTGTATTGGTGATAAGCAACACTTTGAGTTGTACTCGGAAGCAGTGTAGCAACTAAAGGAGTGGTTATTTTCCCTCTCATCAGGTAGTCTATCTATACTGATTGAAGTGTTCTTCAAAGGCAACCACAAGTAGAGTGCATTGCAGTAGTACAGGTGTGTGGTGATGAGGGCACAGTGGCTGTAGCCAAGCACCAAGCTCCAAAATCTGGTGTACCAATCAAATCTGGGCAAAGGGTCTCCTGGCCATGGCCTCTACCTGTTATTCTAAGAGGAGCCATGAGTCCATGGGAACCCATGGATCATGGGCCTGCTCCTTGTACCCCATCCAGAGCCAGAGTTGGAGCTTCTAAGAAGCCACATTATTTGTGAAGGAACAGCTACTTTGTTTTGCAGAGATTCAACTTGAAACTGTTTCAACCTAACCAGTCCCTTGACAGCTTCCAGACTCTAAGTCAGGATAGCCACAGCATCTTCTATTCTTTTAGTTCAGGTGTATCAGAATACTGATGAAACATTATCCCATACCAGCAGATGACCTTTCCCAGTAGTTTCACATAGCTGTTAAATAAGATGGGTGAGAAAGGTGAGAAGACTAAATGGCCAGGGTTTTGAAGTCTTTTCCTCCATCACCCTTGACTGGAACTGCCTACTTAGATTTCTGCTTGATGCTTCAGTCATATCAAAGGTTCAGAAAATCCAGTATCTACAACTAGACCTCTACCACTTTCTCCAAAACCTTCCCCTTAAAGGGAAGAGTAGAGATGGGGTAGAAGTTGTCTAGTATTACCAAATACAATACTACATTTAAATTCTGACCCTGTTAGCATATAAAACCATGAGGTATTTTGAATTCCTAATTGATGAATACTAAATTCATTCTGCAATTTTATAAATGCTGACAAATTTACTATTTCATGTCTGGGGTTGGAGTAACTAACTGAGTTTTTCAGATCCTGACTGGTGAAGACTGGAATGAAGTGATGTATCATGGTATCCAATCTCAGGGCGGTGTTGATAAAGGAATGATGTTTTCAATCTATTTCATAGTCCTGACTTTGTTTGGTAACTGTATCCTTTTACAAAGAAACATGTTGTTATCTTATTTTAGAGACTATATTGTGAATCATGTATGGAAGGCAATAATCAATTATTGCTACAGCACAAAGTAGATGGTTCTTCCATCCTGGTGATGTGTTGCACAGCTGGAGAAATACGCTTCCTTCAAACTTATGACAGAATGCTACTCCTTTTTAAGGAGTGCAACTAAGGGAATGCAACTTATTTTTAAACACACATCAGGGCTCAAGATCCAAAGATAGCAGTTCAGCTAGTCATTCATTTCACTTAATTTGTGAAAAAGGAAAGACCACCACAAGGCAATCAAATACTCTTACTAAAGCTTGACTTCAGTCATTCAGAGCACTCCTGGAGAGCTCTGTGGAAAAAAACCTAGTTTTTATAGTTAAATAAATTCATTTTGAGTAATTGAATTCAATGAATTCTGGCCAATCCTTGGAGGAAAGGACTGCAAGCAAACTGAAAGGGTTAAATTTATTTTCTTTTCTGAAGTAAACTGAAATTAGATCATGAACTGTTTTAGTATTACCTTAACACTCAACATTCAGACACTTTGCTCAATGTGTTCTTGGCTATTGCTGTGGATAATCTGGCCAATGCTCAAGAGCTCACTAAGGTGAGGTTGCTTCTCTAGCAGTGGAACCAGAGATTGTGGGATACTTGTTTACTGAATGTGATTATTCAGGGGGAGGAAAGAATCATTACTGTACTCTGCCCACTGAACCTGACTGGAAATCAGTGATTTTCCAATCAAAACTAGTATTGTCACACTGGATAATGTCACCATCTAGTACATACATTTCTATGCTCAGTCAAGTTTAATCTCTGCCTGATTGTTCTCCATGAACCGAAAGTGTATTTCTAGATGCATGGAATTGTAGGCCTGCTGAATTGGCATCTATGCACATGGATTTTGCATTCCCATACTAATTGCTGCCTGTCCAAAGGTTGGTAATTTTTTTCAGAACTTGGGCACAATCATTTGATATCAAACGATGGCACCTCGCCCACCCTTGATATCACTCAAGACCCATAAGATCTTACAAGGTCTCATGTAAGAATGCTGGAAACTTGTGAGATCTCATGTAAAATTTCAGCATACTCATGAGAGATTATTCAAACCTTCCAAGATTTAATGATCTCATAGGTTTCTGCTATTTTTTAAAAAATAATTTTAATTTAAAGATTACAAAGTGAAAGATGACCTAGCACATGGGATCCTTTATTGCTAAGTTCTGGCATAAATTACATGATACAGGTGAGCAAATGCAGTTTTAAATCTTTGTGTTAGGTGATTCTGTTTTATGAAGTTCTATGTTCTCACTTTCAGTTTAGCTTCACAGTGGTGAGGGTTCAGCTCTTGTCTGAGTATGCTGCTCTGAAAAAATATTTAAACCTGTACATGAGTTCCTCCCATCCTTTTAGCTAAGAAGTAGGTCAACATAGTTTAAACTTTACTGTGCCTCAGCAATGAGGCTAAGAAGCAGTGCTGTTCTTACAGATTTAATTTGGGACAGTTTCAAGGCAGCAATTACTGGAGAAGAAGGGGAAAAAAACCCTTTAACAGCAAACAATCTCTGGCTGCCTCCACAGCAGGCTAACAGTGAAATGCAGGTGATGTCATGAGGAGACATTCCTGAAAAATAATCAGCAAGACATTTTTGTGCTGCAGTAAGCAGGACATGAGGATACGTTCAAACTTTACATTTAAACTTCACATTTTTTAATGCCGGAAAGGTTTTGTGCTTCTGTGCCTCTCTCTTTTATGAATACTGCAATTTATTCTCATTCTGCTTCAGTCCTGCTATTTCTAAAGCATATTCTGGTGATCAGAGGAGAAATCCAATCACTTCCCTGAATTGTAAAAGTACATATTATGAGGGCTGTTGGCCTTATCTTATGAACAGCATGTGGCCACTTACATTCAAAGCAATAGGTACATCATGAAACAGAAGAATGGCTCCAGGCTTCACTAGGAAGGGTGAGGGCACTAGCAGTTCCTCTCTAATATATGGCCTTCACAGGATGAACAAGAAGAAGAAGAAGCAGCTAACCAGAAACTTGCCCTCCAGAAGGCGAAGGAAGTAGCAGAAGTGAGCCCTCTTTCTGCAGCCAACATGTCAATTGCAGTGTAAGTGCTATATTGATGGATCTTTGTCCTATGTTACCCTGGGTTTTCTGCAAAGCAAGGCAGATTTATGCTCACTTCTGGATCTCAGTGAATGGTCCCCAAGTGAGAGGATGTGCTTGAGGTTCTGTTAAATGATGAGGAAGGTTTACGGAGAAAAGTAACTCCATTCCTAATCCTGGTCTTCCACATTAGGGAAGTATGGGACACATAGGGAGAACTGGGACAGGAAAGTAAGTTGCAGCCCAAATTATTTTTGTTTATCTTCCCATAACAGCAGGTATTACAAAGTAAGAATGAAGATCATGTGACTAATTATTAGCTGCTTGAACCCAAACAGAAAGAGTCTCTTGCTTCCTAGAGAGAAATTAATATAATGTTGAACATGGTTGTACATATCTGGGTTCATGTGCAGCTTTTCTGGCAGAGTCAGGAGCAATTCATAAACCAAATACTGTATTCTCTCTGGCCTTGCATGCTGCTTCCAGCACTACCAATAAAACATCCAGCCGAAAAGTTGTGTTCAAGTGTCTTCTGAAACATCAGACTTTGATAATCAGAATAATAGTAATAGTAATAATAATAGTAATAATAATTACAATTACAATTACAACCACCATCATTGCTATTTATAGATGAACAACCTTTTTGGGATTAAAGATTCCATTTATGTCATATAGAATGTGTCAGAGGTTAAATGTGGCAGGAAAAGGCAAAACAAATTGTGTCTCAAAGTAAAAATAATTTATTTTAAAAATTCTAACCATTTTCATGTAAATTGTTTCCATTTGCCCATTCTTTCCCATTAATTTACCAAATTTACCAAAAATCAGCAGCAGATCAAAAAAGGTTGTGATTGCACAAAAATATTTGGACATAAAAAGCCCCAATCACAGATGGTTATATATGCCATTTTCTTTTAGCTTACATTGCTTCTAAGAAGGCATAAACTGGGTATCCTGGAAAAAAAATTGAGTGGGTACAGAAGACATAGTAGTAAAGTACCACAGCAAGAATATTAGACCCCTTGAGAATATGATACCGAATAGAGTTGTTCAAGATATCTTTCCTTAACCTGAAAGCCCTTCAGATGTATTGATTTCAACTCTCACAGTCTTTAACTATAGCCAAGCCAACTGTAGAATTCTGGGAACTGAAGTTCACATATCCGGAGGGCCCTAAGGTAGGAAAAAGTGGGATAGACAGAGCTGCTACTGCACAGAGAACATTTTAAGAATCTATCGTTTTTTCCCATAGGAAAGAACAGCAAAAGAATCAAAAAGGCTCCAGATCAGTTTGGGAACAGCGGACAAGTGAAATGCGGAAACAGAATTTGATGGCAAGTAGAGAGGCACTATACAATGAGTTGGACCCTGAGGATCATTGGAAGGTTACATATGCCCGGCAAATGCGTCCAGACATGAAAACTCACTTAGATAGACCACTGGTGGTAGATCCTCAAGAGAATCGAAACAACAACACCAACAAGACACGTCCCAGTGAGCCACCCTTGGATCCCCACTTTGGGCAGCAACGGCCTGTAGAATTCCTACGAAAACCACCCCGTTACCATGCGCATTCGCGGGAACCCCACTTGTATGAGCGTCCTCACTCAGGAAGCTTGGAGCCTCGACACCCAAGGAGCAATAGCAAGGAAATCAACTTTAACCAAGAAAGCGGGTGTCATGAGATTGATTATCCCAGCAAGGAACCTAGTGCCATGCCAGAGCATGGTTATCATGGTGACTGTGACTCAGAGCGCATCAAAAACTTGGATCCCCACCGCTGGCACCAAGGCAGCAAAGAAAGTCAGAGTGGATCACCTCGTACGGCAGATGGTGAACGGGAGCACCGGCGACATCGAGTACACCGCCGAACACCAGATGAAGGAAGTGGTGAACAGAGTAGCAGAAGTGAGCGTCGCTCTCGGCATCGTGAGGGGAGCAGGCCTGTACGGACTGACATGGATGGGGAACAGCCTGATGGAGAAAGGCGCCGACGGCACCGGCATGCTGGACAGTCCACTTATGAAGTTGATGGCAAGGAACGCCGACATCGGCGCAGGAAGTGAGTAAGAACAGAATTGAGATACAATCATTTGATGTCTTCTGAAATCTTGCCAAATAATTTTCTTACAGTTGCTTTAGAACACCAAATTACTTAAGCTCTTGTTCAAGGTTAAACAATTATTTTGAGATTTAGGGAGAAATTTTTATCTGAATGAAATTAGTTGGCCAAATTTCCTACATGACAACTGATCAGAATCTCAAAGAAGTAAAGTTTCTTCAATGCAAAATGCATTGCTAGTTAGGACATCTGATTTTGCAAAAGAGAATGTATAATTTGCAGACGTTTATGCTCAATGTATGCATGATAATATTTCATAAATTGTCCTTTGGCTTATATACAGTTGGATTAAAGCCAGTATTCCAGTATGGTATAGACATGTGGGGTTCCTGTGAATCTTTAAAAGGGGGAGACAGTTTTGCTAATATGAATACATTTTGTGGACATAGAGATAAAACAGCTATGCAGAAAGTGAAGGAAGGGCTGGGAAATGTACCATGGATAAAGAAAATGTAGGTTTAGCAATAGAAAGTGTTCATGTAGTGCTTCTTCCAGGTACTGGTTTGGAGTGTAGTGAGACTAACAGCAAACTGATGGTTTTAAATATTATATGCTGCTGTACTAATTGTATTTCTGTGACCTTTAAGCAATAATATGTTGCTAACTTTTTAATTTTTTTTTAATATGCTACAGAGAGAACCAAGGCTCTGGTCTTCCATCTGGACCAAACCTATCCACCACAAGGCCAATTCAGCAAGATATGGGGCGTTTAGAACCTCCAGTATCTGAGGATATTGACAACATGAAGAATAATAAATTAGCGACCAATGAAACCTCAAATCCACATCTCATCAGTCATTCTCAGAATGATCCTACCAAAGGAGGAAACCACTCAAACTCCACACCGCGCTGCACATCCCAAAATCCACCTATTCCTTTGGACCAACCATTTCTCAACTCTCAGAATTCTACCAGTCGCCAAACCCCCAGTAACCCTGCCAATCCAGCCAGTCCTGGAGCTCCTAAAAATCCAGAGAACAGCCTTATTGTCACTAACCCCACAACCCAAAACAATCCACCCAAAACTGCCAAGAAACCAGAATACACAGCAGTGGAAATCCCATCTGCCTTCCCACCTCCAATCAACAATGCTATAATGCAAGGTGAGCACTAAGTGTATTTGGTCAGTAGACTTAGAACCAGGTGACATGAATATCAGGCAGAAAAGTTAGAGTTGTATTTAGAGGACATATGGGAACCATTCAATGTGAATATAAGAGAGGAAATGTATTAAAAGCACAGTGAACATCTATTAATAATACAATCAGTTCAGGCACTAATAAATATACAAATGTATATTTGTATGAGTGACAGGAGGCAATATCCAGTTATGTTTCTCCAGGACATGTTTGAATGGACATTTTGAGCATATAAGTTGATCTCTACAGTATTTATTTGCATTTCCACAAATGTGTTGTGTTTTATATGTCCCTTTTGGTTTTGTTACCAGTCAATAAGAATGCCAATCCAGAGCCTCTGCCAAAGAAAGAGGAAGAGAAAAAAGAGGAAGATTATGATGATGGAGGGGAAGATGGACCCAAGCCTATGCCACCATACAGTTCTATGTTCATCCTCTCAACCACTAATCCGTAAGTTGCCACACTGAAGTCAAAGCAAGTGGACTTTGTAAATCAGGAACAGGTACCTATGAATCTGATACCATTGTTGAAGTGGGGAGCAGCTGGCCCTTTAAATCACAGTCCAGCCTTATGTGTCCAGAGATAGTCACCTGACCCCTGTGTAATGGAAGGCATGTGCAAGGAGGATACTGGAATGGAGGATCAAAGTTATCAGGAGGGAGGGGGAGCATTCCTGGAGAGGTTACAGAGCAAGCGCTTTCTCAGCCCGCAGCAGGACCGTGAGAAGGCGAAGAAGCTGAGACTGGCCCCTCCCTAGAGTCTCACGGGGTATATCCACTAGTTGCTTTAG